TTCTGACCCGAACCTGGAGAACGATGGTTTTCTCAAGGCACAGATGGACAGCCAGGGCTTTGTTCCTTTCGAGGTCATCGCAGGCTTCCCGAGGATACGCTCGATGTCCAGCCAGACGATCGAGTTCGTGAGGCTGGCATGTGCTGACTGCAAGGAAGTTGACTTCGTACTCGGAGACGGCCATAAAGAGCTTGTGCGTTGCCGGAAGAACTGGCAACGATGGGTGGTCGAGGGAGACGAAAAGGATCAGACCAAGGAGTCTGCTCGCAACCCAGGCCCCTCCAACTTTGTCTACAAGTCGTGGCACAGTCTTCATTTGAACCAGAACAACAACCACTACTACCAGCAGCAACCGATGCCGTATTCCTCCTACAACCCAGCATCCCCCCAAGCATTTGGCCCTGGGCATGCCTTTCCAGGCGACATGTACCCGGGCTACATGAACGGACCCCAGTTTCCGGCAGCTGTTAATGGTGCCCAGGCCAATGGGCAATCTACTACTGACAATTCGCCATTGAATGCCTCTGTTCCCGAATTCTCCCCTGTGAAGACATCAATGGGATTCTCAATCGCAGCTGCCTTCTCACCTATGAACTGGGAGGATCAGGCGATGCAGTCAGCTCAGACTTTTACGGATGAGGAGGTGGCCCAGCTGCACATGGTAGCTCAGGGCAAGCTGGCGAATGGCACTCGTGGTGGCCCCTCTGAATCTGAGGACAGTGCTGTTCCCAAGACCAATGGCGTCTCTACCAACTCTGAAGTCTTGACAACGTAGGTTCTCATCAACTCTGTTCTGCCTTGAGCCATTCACCAACTGACCCACTGCAGGCCTGAGTTGGTCCCTACTGATGAGGGAACCATGTCTCCCACCTACTGGCGTCTGGATGGCACCCTGGCTCATGTCTCCGATGCTAACAACAAGGAGGCATATGCAGATGTGCACGACAGAGCTATTGAACAGCGCAGTGCTGCCAAGTCTGGGGAGCTTCCTACAGACATGAAGCGACTGTACAAGTTCTGGTCTCATCTTCTCACAACAAAGTTCAACCCTGGCATCTACATGGAATTCCGACAATATGCCCTTGAGGATGCTACTGCTGAAGTCCCAAGCAAGGTTGGCCTCAGCAATCTTCTTCAGTTCTACAAGGCTGTGCTCTCGAAGAGCCAGGGTGGAGGCCTCTGGCCACCAGAACATCCAATTTACAGATTGCTGCAGTCTCACCTCGACAATGCGCAGCAGGTTGTCAACAGCAGTGAAGAGCAGGTGTAGTCTGAGTCTGTGGTGAGGAGGTGGCATGGCTTCTGCTATTTCTTCAGCGCCGGACACTTTGGACTTTTCTTCCATTACACAGCAATGAAGAAAGGGGTCTGAGTAAAAAGGACAACACCTATTCTGCAGAAGTGGCCAGATTTGGAAACTGCACAGTTCTGCAATGCGTACAGAGAACTTACACCTGTCTGGCCAACCAGAGACTGCTTGTGCAGTCAATGGATGTGCCTTCGTCTTCCTATATTTTAAAAAACGGCCTTCCAGAACATTGTTGCGGGGCAATGGCATACAAGACACCGAAGCGCCCTCCACAGTCGAATCCTGTCTGGACATGGCAGTATGGCCAGCTCTTCGACAGTCCCAAACTTCTACCACATGATCATTTACGAGGAACGAAGCTACCAGCAAGCATGGAACATCCATGCCCACACTATCTCAGGCATCTTGCCTCTGATTTTTCATGACCTCGGCAACATACTAATATTTTGCAAGCGATGTGTAGGATCACACCACCTTTTCGATGATGAGCTAGCTCAATTCAATCAGTCATTTGTCCTGCTTCATGAGCAGGTTGCTTTGGGACTGAGTGAGGGGGAATGGAGAGCAGCAAGGCTGCAAGGATTTTCTACAGATCTGTTCACAGGAGTGGACATGGTCTGGAATGGGTCGCGTGTGGGTGTGTGTGTGTGTGTGTGTCTGTGTGTGTGTGTGTGTGTGTGTGTGGCAGCTATCAGCTGCTGCAACTAAAGGTTATGGAGTCTTGATGCAGACTGATTCTCTTTCCAGCAGTTTGCTTTGAAAGCTAAACAAAAAGTTCGATTTGCCCTGAGAGGTCCTCGGGTTTTCCAGACAGCATTGAAGGGGCGTCATGTTTCCAGCAGGCCTCAAACCAAACCCTTATTCTACCTCAACAAGTTGATGATGGATCACATGACTGCTCTGGTGTCGGCACCGTCATGGGATGTCTATATGACAAGCCCAGAAGACTGGACTTGGTTTGGCAGAGGAGGTGGGGGGAGGGGAGGATAAGGGATGTGGGGTGACCCTTTGGGGTTCCTCTCACGTGTCGTGGACATGTTAAATTTCCCTTTCTCCTTTTTTTTCTCGTTCAGGGTCTCTGGATTGGCAAGATAAAACAAAAGAATTCTCATTATATTTAAGTTCAGAGATATTTTATTATGATTTCCCCTCTGAAATTCTCTTTTGTATGAATAAGGTTTCTGGCAGACGTTACTTGGAGGTGGGCTGTGGAATGGAGAAAAGCAGAGAGGGAGGTGAGCAGACTTCGCGGCAAACTTGAGAAGAATGTATGTATATAAGTGTTGATGGTTGAAAGCATAAAAGTAAAAGCAATCATGTTTCTGTGTTCAAAAGCAGTGACCCAGGTCTTTCGCTGAAGTGAAGTTGGCAGGTCTGCCTCCAGCCCAAGGGGTTGCTGAGCCCAAGATCCCAAGATCTGAAGATAGAGAGTAGTCGTACATCTTGGGGAGCTCCAGTTCTACTTTCCGGAGCGACCATCTCATGTATTCCACAACAGAAAACCACTACAAAACATAAAATCTATTTTCGAGAAGTCAAGCTTGAGAAGAATTCTTGATCATGGCAGCAGAGTCAGGACGAAGGCCTTTGCGGCAAGGCCAGTCCAGTCCAGTCCGGCCCGAGCCAACAACGGCTATGCGGGCGAGTTGACGCGGACGTGTATCAGTCTGATAGATAAGGGCCAGGACAAAAAACTGCACACTACCCATGGTACCATAGTACTACTGTATGAGGGTGGAAGTGCGTGCGTGCGAGAGGGGATGTCGGGCAATTACTTTGCAGGGTAACTTTATAACGCAGTATATAGGAGTGAGTATGTACATACGTCACCGTGGGGGGGGGGGGGGCGCTGCAGGTGTGGCTGGAAACTCTTCCAGGAAAGCAAGGGTCCAGGCTGGGTGTTGGGCAGCAGCTGGAGGCACAAATGAGTCACAGAGGGGTGGCGTTGACAGGTGAGGGGGGAATTTCGAGTCGGTATACCCGGAGCATTTCTATTATTTCTGTAATGGTATTGAGTCGACTGCGCCACGGTCTTCGGGGAGAACCCCTCATTCTGTGGCTGGATGCCACACACTATCCTTCTGTAACATTTGTGCAATGCAAAAGGCCGTGTCTAGGCCGCCCGCTGCTTACCACCTGTGCCCGCGGTTTACCAAATTCCTCTTCTCTTAAGTACTTGGGTGGGGAGGCCTCGAAACCTCGCACACACAAGATCGATCGGAGGGTGGAAAGACAGGAAAAAGATATCAGAACAGGGCGGTTTACCCATGTCACAATGAACAACAGATTCCGACAGGACTATTACTGAGGGGTAAAAGAGACTCGCAGGCTCAAGTCATATTGGTTATCATACAGCAGGTGGTGATGCAAGAGTTACCATCGTACACACGAGCTACGTTCCACATTCCCCGACCGACCGACTAACTAGGGTTGAAATGCTGCTAACGAGATTGTGCTGCAGTCATGCTCATCGTCCCATCAGGGAAGGGAGCCTTGTAAGGGAGGCCCATCCCCCACACCTCTGGGCCCTCTGAATGGAATTTCATGGCTGGCTGACAGGGTTACTTCCTCTTTGTCACAGAAGGGGGAAAGAAGAGAAGAAGGAAGAAGGAAAGAAAAGGTCGACAGGAGCGAGGGAAGAGGGTCCTGACTATTTTCTTTTTTTCTCTTCTCCTTCTCGGGACACCTGCGTCAACGTGCAGGTGGGGTGGTGTCTGATGTCTCTGACTAGAGCGGCCCTGACTGGTCCAGCTGAAGTAAGGAAGAAATCGGGCACCGACTTCTCTTTGTCTGGGTCTTGTTTCTTGTTGGCTGCGGAAACATCCTGCTGGCCCAATATACAGGCCCCGCTTGTCACCACCACGACCCAACGATATTGTAGGGGGGGAGGTACACTATCGGCCACATGTGCAGGCCTGGTAGGCCTCTTCCTCCATCCCCCTCGTCGCCCTCCTTTCCTTTTGAAAATGGAAGAATGACTACACAGCCTCTTGAGACTATTCTTCCATAGATCGAAGCGCTTTGGAAGGAGGCCGCCAGAAACTCATCATAGTCCTAGATACTATCCACTTCGCCCCAGGAAGAAAAGAGACAAAATTCCCAGCGTTGGCTGCATCAAGACTCTTCCGCATCTTGTGGAGGGGTCCCACGCATCACGTTAGCCGCAGCCTGCGGCCGACTTGGCTAGCCCTGCCTTAGTAATGCTACTACAATACAGGCTGTACAGGCTGACAGGGTAAGTACCTCTTGCCCCCTCTTTTCCACACGGTCAAGTCAGGGCAGTCACCTTATTTTAGTTGCCGCCTTGGTCCTCGCCCATACCCTGTGACGGCTGACCCTGACCCTGACCCAGCCCCAGCCCCTGCCGCACACCCATCACCCTGTTTCTGGCCTTGGGCCCCCTCATCTTTCCCTCCCCAGCCCAGCCGATCCTCCAACCTGCTGCGTAGTTTTTACTCCTCCTCCCAACAAACCACCTCCTGTTTTCTGCATCATCACAATTCTATCTTCTTTCCATCCTGTGATCAACAAACAACGACAAGCAAAAAGAAGGTCTGAGAGTTTATCTCTTCTTCTTCTTCGTGATCGCTTCCTTTGTCTTTGTTCTGAGAAAGCGTTCATTTGCCGTCGCCTCTGACGTCACTCTTCCCATCTACTACTACTACTGATCCGCCATCTAAACCTCGAGGCCATGTCCGGCTACGACTACGACCCGCCCCGTCGGGAGCGCGGCGGTGGTGCGAGGCAGACATACTACCGTGAGGACTATGTCGAACCCCAGGATCCCTACCTTAGGGTCTCGAACTCCCGTGATCTTGTGCCCAGGGGCCGCGAAGAAAGCGTCGAGGATATCCCCAGGGACTTTCCGCCTCCAGGCTACCAGCGTGACGTCCGCAGGGCCCGCTCCGCCGGGAACTACGACTACGATGACGACGAGCGCTCTGTCTACACGCGCAGGAGCCGGGACGATCGCGATTACTACGAAGATGACTACTACCAGCAGCGTCGTCGGCCCAGGAAGGCCGAGAGCGTCTACATCGAGGAGGAGGAGAGGAAGCGCAAGCGCATGCTGAGCCAGCAGGAGAAGATCATCGCCGCTGTCGCTGGCGCCGCTGTCGCCCTCGGCGGCAAGGAGTTGTTCGACCGCCGTGAGGCCCATGAGGAGGGTAGCGATGTTCACCGCAACATCCTCTCGTCGGCTGCCCTCGGCGCTGCTGGTGCATTCGCTGCCTACAAGGGCGCCGAGGTCTACAATAAGCGCGCCGACAAGACCGAGAAGAAGTCGACACACATCGTCCACAAGGGTCGCGATGGCAAGGTCACCGAGTACTACTCGGATGACGAGGACGAGAAGCAGAAGAAGGGCCACAAGAACTTCCTCGAGAGCGCCCTCGCGGCTGCTGGCCTCGGTGGGGCGCTCAAGGCCCTCACTGGCAGCAGCGGCGGCGGTGACAAAGAGAAGGACAGACATGGAGATCGGGACCTCGAAGGCGGTCGCGACCGAGGTCGTGGCTCTGATACCCGCAGCCACCGCGGAAGCCGCTCGCGGTCGCCTGGTAAGGGCGGCGCCGGCGGCAACAAGATCCAAAAGGCCGCCATGGCCTCCCTCATTGCCGGTGCGACCGAGGCCTTCCGCGTCTCCAAGGAGCCTGGTAGCTGGAAGGGCGAGAAGGCCAAGCGCATCCTCACCGCCGCCGCTGGTGCTGCCACTATCGACGCGGCCCAGAAGCCCGGTAAGGACGGCAGCAAGCTCGGCCTGGCGGAGTCTGTCATCGGTGGTCTCATTGGAACCGCATGATCAATGGTTCCAAGAAGGAGATCATCGAGGACAAAGATGGCCGGAGCCGTTCTCGCTCTCGCGCCAGGTCCGAGGGCGGCGGGAAGGGCGGCATGGGCCTTGCTGCCCTGGCCACCGCCGGCCTGGGTGCCATCGGCGCCAAGAAGGCTGTCGACAACATCCGCGAGGAGCGATCCCGCTCGCGCCGTCGCAGCGTGTCTCGCGACTCGTATGACAGCAGGGACGACTCACCGCCCCGACGCCAGCGCAGCCGCAGCCGCAGTGTTGTGGACTCGGCGCGACGGAGCCTTGCCAAGATCGGCATCGGCAAGAAGGACGACGAGAGCGAGGTTGGGTCGCGCCGAGGAGGAGGGCGCTATAGCGACGATGAGTACTCCCGGGACGGGCCACGAGATGCTCGGTACCGTGACGACTACGATGACGACCGGCTGCACCGAACCGGGTCCCGATCTCGAGGGGCCGCCTCGCGCAGCAGGGCGTCGTCTCGGTCGTCAGCGTCGAGCTCGGACCTGGGCGACTCGGAGGAGGACGAGAAGAGGGCCAAGAAGATGCGAGGTAAGCAGATCATCACCTCGGGCCTGGCGGCCGTGGCCACCATTCACGCGGCGCACAACGTGTATCAGAGCATGGAGAAGCGGAACGCGCGGCACAGGGCCGTGAAGGCGGGAAAGCTCTCAGAAGAGGAGGCCAAGAAGCTCAAGACCAAGGCGCTGCTGCAAGACGCAGCGTCGGTGGGCATCGCCGCCATGGGCATCAAGGGCGCCATTTCCGAGATGAAGGAGGCGCGCGAGCTGTCCCATGAGGTGGCCGAGTTCAGGGAGAAGAAGGAGGAGCGCCATCAGCGGCGTATGAAACGCCTCGAGCGCCAGCGCCAGAAGCAGCAGAACCACAGCGACTCTGGCTACTCCGACTACTCTGACGATGAGGACGACCGAAGCAGCCAGTACAGAGGTTCAAGGACCCAGAGCCGAGGACCTCTGCGCAACGGCAGGTATGACGACGGGCCTCGTTATAGCGATGGAAACCCGTACGCCTCCCTGCCTGCACCCCCTGTGGGATACAGCGACAGGAGATAGGAGGGACCTCGTCATAGCCTCGCGACACAGCAAGACCAGCTCGTCCATGAGCCGTCACACGTCATGACAGCAAACAAGACCCACCCTGTGCAGCTCCACCACCAGCATGAGCGCAGCCATGCACCACAAGCAATACATGTCAACTCGCTGCATCTTCTCATCTACCGCTGCTACATTCACGACATGTGATGATGATGATGATGATGATGATGAGAACACGAGGAAAAGATTGCTTTTGGGGGGGGGGGGGCCTTTCATCGAGCGAGAGGCGTTCCGCAAAATAAAGATGGTCAAAGATTGAGTGATTTGGACGAGTGGGAGAGAAAGAGAAAGATGTTACGGGGGCTTTCTTGACGGACTTCTCATAACCTTGACGACTTTCCTGCTCTGATACCGCTGTGCTGACTTGGTGGCCATGTGCCAACACCCCCCCGATCACCTACATGATCCCATTTACGTTTCCCCCCTGCTTGCTTTTTTTTTTCTTTTTTCTTTCTTTCCCTTCCCCTTTTCACGGCACACAAAGAATCTCATCAAACAAGTATTACTACTATTTGTGGAGAGGACACACAAGATTTCTCGTTCTTGAAGGCAACAAATAGATCCAGGCGTTTACTCCCCAAACAAAAACAATTCCCTTTTTCCCCCCTCAAACAGAATCTTTGGGCACCAAAAGAAGAAGTTCACTCCTTGTCTCATACGCGCTATCTTCTCCTTAAAATATACATATACTGATAAGTCCCTGATTTCTGTGACAGATCGGCGCCACCGCCGCTAAGACACCAACGCACGAATGTTTCGCTTAGTGCTGGCGATCTACCATTTGTGTACCGAAACGCGATGTGGGCGCGAGGGCCAAAAGAAGCATGGGAGAAGAGACAAGATCGGGCTGTGGGTCGCAGATCGGCGGAATGCAAGGCATCCTGCATGAAGAAAAGGGTACACGCACGACGGTCCTGGTGTGGTTCGATCTTTCGGCACGAACGGAGGTTGGTTCGGGGGTTAGATTGGAGTGTGGGAAATGGTGCAAGGGAGGGTTGGGCGGGGGGGCCAAAATGGATTTCTGGTGGCTGCAGTGGCTGGCTGGTTTCATTTTCTTCTTCTTTTTGCTCTCATTTGTCCTTGTCCACTACTGCATGTGGATACAGATCGTGGAAATCGACTGGATGAATGAATGATTGTTTTGGCACGAGGACAACGGGCGGACGAGATTTGGTTGGATAACCTAGGATTTACGTTTTGAAAAGAAAGAAGGGGGGGGGGGGCCGGGTTGGAAACTCGGACGGCATTAACGAATTCGTTGTTTTTTTCTTTTCTTTTCCCGTTTTGATTTATTGTTTCCTTGCCTATACTTTCCGCTTTTCAACCTGATGCAAGACGACTTTACGATGTTACGCTTCCCCCTCTTATCACACTAGCTAGCTCTCACTGCCTTGCGATCAGTCTGATAGAAGAATCTCACGATGATGGTCTTTCTCTCTCCTATCATAGCCACAACGGAAGATCTGGATATATCGGCACGATCCTGCTGACACACTACGTACATGGACGCACACATGCATACCCCTGGTCCCGCGAGCGAATCGAGATTCCGGACTGAACGGGGGTTCGTCCGTGGAGAGGAAGCGGTGTGTCCTGTCTGGTATGTATGAACCATTAACTAACTCCATAGTAGTATGTCAAAGTGAGGGAAGGCTAAGCGTCATGCAGTGTAGCGGGAGGGGGCTTGCCCCTCCCTCCCTTTGCTCTTCTGAACCGGCCTTGATGTGGAAGGAAAGTAGGAGATTGTCATGCGAGAATATATCAGAGAGAGCAGTGTTTGTGTATATGTGTGGTTTCGAATGCATCGCACATCATAAAAACCTTCTTTACTCATTTAGACTTTCCTACAAAGAGCCAAACAACACAAACTTTTTTGTCTTGGACTTTGACAGCTTGGCGACAAGGGCTTGTCCCGCCCCTTGAACGAGACCACGGGGGGGGGGGAGCATCTTCCCCCATTTCCCAGATCGATGCTACGTTAGCTGGTAGACTGGTTAGGAATGCTACACAAACTGACTTATGCTAGCTTTCTTTCCTCGATCGGGATAGGAAGGAGAGGGACGTGTTCGAGACCAGAGAGGCGCTTTTCTGGACCCCCGGTGGGGAAATGAGTTGTGTGTTGGGTTTTTGATTTTTGATTCTGGAACGGAGATGTGATGAGGATGATGGGGATGGTGATGATGATGTCACTGTGCAGGGCACAGGTCTCGTGGCTGGAGCTGTGTGGCACTTGCTGGCTTTGGCAAATCTGTGAAGAGAGAGGGCCGGCTCTTGTTTCCCCCCTTTACCTCTTTTCCCTTTTCATACGGGAGTCTACCAGTAGCAAAGATACAATATTGGTACTACCACAGTAAGTAAGTAGTACAGGGCAGTGTTTTTGAAACGAGGGGCAAGAAAAGAGAGAGAGAGAGAGAAGAAGGTGTGAGACTTGAACGAGCGACTTTCTCTCCCCCTTCACGATGGTTGGCTTGTCCGGCCTCCACATGGGCCAATAAGATGAAAGTGTTGGCAGTAACAGTTAAGTAGTACGACCGCGTCACTTTTTATCGCCTTGTACCTTTCTTTTTTCCGCGCTCGTGCTTCCAAACTTGAGATTTGGGAGCCCCTCCCCCCGGTTGCGCAACCAAACCAGTTGAGAGCCATCAAAAGGACTATCCACTTGAGTCTTAGCGTAATACAACAAACAGTCCTTTCCGTTTCACCCTTCTCCCAAGAGTGGAGCTCCCCCTTTCACTTCTCGGGAACGCACAGCTTTTTCTGTAATGCATACATAACCCTCTCAATTTGAGACATTTTCCAACAAGCGCAAATGGTTTAGTGGTAAAATCCATCGTTGCCATCTTCTTCACGATCTTCGCGGATCTTAAAGGAAAAATTGATTCGATGGGCCCCCGGTTCGATTCCGGGTTTGCGCATACTTTTGTATTTCTTTTTAGTCCTCATTGCCTCTTTTTTGGGTGGAATCATAGAATACACAAGTTATCCGATACTGAATGATTAAGATGATAGTAATGCCTCTGATTTGTGTGTAATTTCTTATGCGTTGTTAACAGATCTTTTTGTTGGATGCTAGCTACTTGCAGCCTGGAAGATTATGGGCGTTGGCTGTGTTGCATTTGCGCATACTTGTCATTATTGCGTCAGTTTGTGAAAAAGGATGGGAGTGCTTCTCATAAGTATTGATTACTTGTTGTATACGTCTCTCGAGATTCATTCATCTGTACAGCCAGCTGCGTCTTAAGAATACTGAACGAGGATTCCCAGGCTGGACAAGCAAGAAGATGTCATGTTGAACCTCCTGGCAAACCCGCACATATACACCTCAATGACAAGAGGTTTCAGGAAGAGGAGGTCTTGCAGGTTCAAAAAGAGGCCAGTAAAAAGTCTGCCATGAATGGTAATTCTCGTATAAAAGCATCGCCAATCTACTTCTGCTTCCAGGCCTGGGCCATGGCCAGGAAGTTGGATATATCTGCAGTCTGCTGGTCGTCGACCGGAAAGATGTAATCGACGTACTCCTCCCATTCGCCCTCGTCGTTCTTTCTCCTCTTGCGCACCTTGCGCGGCATCTGTTTCTCGACTTTCTCCACAGCCTCGGCCGTGCCGTGCTCCCTCTCGAATGCCAGCCAGGCGTTTAGCAGCGTCACGCGCTCCGCCTTCCTCTCCTTCATGCTTTTGAGCGCCCGGTCGAACACCTGGCGCGCCCGCGCCTTGGCTTCCTCTGACACCGGCTGCTCCTCATCCTCACCCTCCGGCTCCTCCTCATTCTCGTCTGGCACGTTGATCTCGAACTGGGCGTAGCTGATCCAGACCTTGGGGTGGTCCGCCCTCTCCAGAAGTCGTTCGTATAGCGCGCGTGCCCGCTCGTACTCGGTTTCCTCCTCTTCGAAATCGATGTACTTTTTCCATACCATCTCGGGCATGTCGAGGACGGGCTGGTCGATCCCTAGCTCGAAGATCGCCCGCGCCCGCGCCTCGTCACCAAGACCACGCTCCAGCTGTGCCCAGTCGATCCATATCTGGCAGTTGGATGGGTTGTACTCGACATGCTTCTCGTACAGCATCCGGCACCGCTGGAATTCGTACAGCTTCTGCTCGAGTGCCACGTAGCCTTTGAAGAGCGAGTCTTTGGGGCACATGCCGATGGCGCGGCCGAGTGTCTTGCGTGCGATGGTGAGGTTGCCCTGACGAATCTCAAATTGTGCTTTCAAGAGCCAGATTTTAGAGAAGGTGAACTTCTTGTGCGGTATCAGGTGGAGGCACTCGTCGTAGACCTGTCGTGCCCGCTCCACGTCCCTGGCTTCCATCTCCTCGTACACTGCGTAGAAGATCCAGAGGTAGATGTACCGCCTCCAGAGCCGCTTCTCTTGGGCTGGTGGGACCTGCGCAACTGCCTTCTCGTACACTTCCCTCACCCTGTCCACGTTGCCAGAAGTCTGCTCGAGGTTGGCGTAGTCGATCCAAATGTCGTAGTTCTTGGGGTTCTCTTTGATCTGTTCCTCATAATGCCTCCGCCTCTTGGAAAGCACAACATCCTCGACGCCTTCCTGGTCTCCAAACTGCTTCTCGAAGACGGTGTATTCGGCATGAAGCTTCATGGATTTCGAGCGAGGCAGGTTGTCCAGAGCGAACTTGAAGATGGCTCTTGCGCGCTCATACTGCTTCAGTTTGGACTCAAAACGCGCAAAGGCGATGAACACCCGCTCATCTGCATACTCATCGCCAAGCGACTCGATGGCCACCCCAAAGATATCCCTCACCATGTCACTCGTGCCGAACTCCTCCTCGAACTTGGCCCACTTAATGTAGTTGCGCGGCTCGGGGTGGACAATGACAAATCTCTGGAAGATGTTCCGTGCATTGTCAAACTCTTGGTACCGCCGCTCAAAGTGGATGTAGGCACTCCAGGCCCTCTCGTCCGGCTGCCAGGTCATCCATCTCTCAAAAACCTGGCGGCACCCAGCAATGTCTCCCAGTCCCTCCTGGACATAGACATACTTGTACCACATCTTATCCACGCGCGGTAAAAGAGTAACCGCGCGGTCCAGTAAATTGCGCGCATGCTGGATATTGCGCTCCTTGATCTCAAAGTCGATGTATCGCATCCATAGTGCCGGGTTGGTGGGGAGGGCATCCAAGGCACGCTCGAAGACGGACCGCGCCCGAGCAAACTCCTTGTATTGGATCTCGAAGTCTGTATACTGGGTCCAGTTTTTGAGAGATGAGCTGTTGCGCCGGATATAATCCTCAAACTCGCGTCGTTTGCGGCCCTGAAACTCCTTCAGCTCCTCGAGATCCGCGAAGCGCTGCTCTGGCCTCTGGAGTGCCTCTTCCTGTCTGTCAACAGCTTCACGGAGCAGTTGCTCGGCACTGATCTGGATAGGCGCAGCGCCCTTGTTCTTCACCCGTGGAGGGCCACGTGAGGACTCCATGGTGGACGACGCGCGGTGGCGATGAAGCAGCTGTGACAGGAACGAGAGGTGGACCTGGGCGAACCTGACAGCCGAGAGAGCAGAGGGAGATGGTTGGCTGTTGTGCACGAAAAGCTCTGCTGCTGCCAGCCTCAAGCCAAAGCTTGGGAGAGTTTTGAATAGGTAAGAGAGTGGGTGAGATAGGCAAAGTGGGATGAAGTTGTCGAGGTGAGTGAGGCTGATGGATGTTTTTGCCGCCACCCACCCAATCAACAAGGGTGTGCAGGGACCAAGTTGCTGCAGTGGTCAGTGCTTTGCGCTAACCTTGTGGCGCCTGATGGACCCCCTGCTAAACCTCTTGGCTGCCTTTTATAACTAACCACAGCAGAATCTCAAGTCAACTTTCTTCCACTGAACGTCAATAGAAATCCGCCCAACCCAATCCACCCACGTTCCCTACCACAGCAAGAGGCCCTTGACGGCAATTCAAGATGTCGACACTGGTGGATGAGCTGCTGCAGGACTTTGAGGACTCAGGGTCCGAGCAGGGCGATGAGCGAAACGGTGATGCTATCCTAGGTGACAACGATGTTGAGGACACCAACGGACTGCATGCGACTCGCGACATGGATCTTGACGGCGGCGACATGGATGGTGATGATGGAGACGAAGATGAGGAGATGGGCGGCGTGCCAGACGCCGGAAAGCAAGCACCAGAGGACCCAGAAGAGGCCAAGGCGCGGATAGAAAAGCTGCAACTGAAAGGAGTCGACGACGTGCGCGCCGTCGCAGGGCTCATGAAGACCCTAGAACCAGTACTTGAGGTTAGTCGACTGCCCATCCCCTCCCCCCCTTTTCTTAAGTGATCCTCCCCGTTCTTTGAGCATCGCAAAGTGTTTACATCGCTTCTTCTGTACACTAGCCCTGACTGTGAGCGTCCGACCTTGTAGAAAATCGCACACTTCCAAGCACAACCACCAGAAGCGCGAGATAACTTGATCGGGAATATCGAGGATCACCCCGAGTACGAGCTCCTCACCGAGTCGAATCAATTGTCCACGTCGATCGATAGCGAAGTTGTGTTGGTGCACAAGTACATCAGAGACCACTACTCTGTACGATTCCCCGAGCTTGAGACGCTTGTTACGAACCCTCTCGAGTACGCCAAGGTCGTTGCCGTTCTCGGAAATGGTCCCTTTGATCAAGAAAACATCAAAACGTTACAGACGACCGCGGATAATATCCTGGGAGCCAGCCTCAAGTCCGTTCTTGATGGTCCGTCGCTCATGATCGTCACGTTGGAGGCCACTAGATCAAACGGACGAGACATGTCACCGGATGAGCTGAGCAGAGTCATGCGCGCCTGCAAGATGGTCATTGACCTTGACACAGCCAAGAGGACGCTGACAGAATACGTGCAATCGCGAATGAATATCTTCGCGCCAAACCTGACTGCCATGGTCGGATCCCTGACAGCAGCACAACTGCTCAACGCAGCGGGCGGTCTAACTGGTCTGTCCAAGACCCCAGCATGCAACATCTCCGCCTGGGGCTCCAAGAAACAGCAGAGCGGCGCCCTTGCTACAAATGTCACGATCCGGCAACAGGGCTTTCTCTTCCACTCTCCCATCGTCCGCAGCGTCTCGTCTGACATCAAAAAACAGGCCTTGCGGATTGTATCTGCCAAGGTCGTCCTCGCGGCACGCGTGGACTGCGCTCACTCCAGCCCAGATGGCTCAACCGGCGAGGACTTCAAGCAGAATTGCCTCGAGCGCCTGGACAAGCTGCAGGAGAAACCCCTGAACAAGGGGCAACGGGCCCTACCCGTGCCGGACGACAAGCCCAGCCGCAAGCGGGGTGGCCGCCGTGCGAGAAAGGCGAAGGAAGCTGTAGCCATGACGGAGCTGCGCAAAGCACAAAACCGTTTGGCCTTTGGCAAAGAGGAGAAGGAGGCGGGCTACGGCACGGGTGACTCCACCGTGGGCATGGGTATGATCGGACAGACGGACACAGGACGGGTCCGAGGCACACAAATCGACGCGCGCACGCGCGCAAAACTCAGCGCCAAGAACAAGGGATGGGGCGGCATCGGCGGGCTCTCGAGCTCGATCAACTCGGGTGCGGCGAGCACGCTCAAGTTTGGGCAGAACGCCGCCGCTGCGGGCAGCCTCGACCTGCGCGGCAAGGGCCTGCGGACGTCAGGTGTCGGTACGACGCTCGGCGGCGGCGGCACGGTCTCGTCGCTCAACTTCACGCCCGTGCAGGGCCTGGAGCTGGTCGACCCCAAGGTCCAGGCCGAGCTGAAGAGAAAACGACAGGAGGAGCAAGACCGATGGTTCAAGGGCGGCACGTTCACGCAGGTTGGCGGCGGCAGTGGTGGCAGCAGCGATGGGGTGTTCAAGAAGCCTGATTTGCCGCCTAGCAAGAGACAGAAATAGGGCGCGTGGGGGGTCCCTTCAGAGTGACGGCTCTGAGAGTCACGCATAGCGGACAGATAAAAAGTGTAGTCGATGCTGTTAGTCGAAAGACCATCATCGTCGAATCAGCTTTTGCTATACCCTCTAAATTGCTGATTTAATGGCGCACCTTGTCGTGTTCTTTGTCGCTCCATACATTGTTATGAGTACCGATTCGTACAAGTATATCGCAGTAAAGAGATGACCAGAAAAGAGTTTTGTTTGACAGAATATATAAATTTTTTGGTTTTTTATAGTTTACTTTTATCTCAAACTGCTGCGGCCCATTTGGCCTCCTCAAGATTGCATCAAGTTTCTTTTTCCTGAGAAGGGAAGGAATCCGCTGATACTATTGGATAGCTTCTTTTCTCTCCTCTCCGCGTGTAAATCCAACTCTCGTGTGTGCAAAGCGACGCCTGAGCATCCTCCGTGGGTATCAATCAGCCCTGTACGCTGCCGTTCGTGCAGTGTATAACCAGACTGCCCTGTCTCGATGTATATATATGTACACTTTTTCAGAAAAAAGAGATCAAGACAGCTGTACGAAACATCGTCCAACCACAGTCCTCCACCTTTGAAGTCCTCGTACAATCGATTATGCAGGGGAGGTTTTGGTTGGCGGTTAGACCAACCCAATCCTGCTCCCCCACGCCCCAAGCATGCGATGTGTCATCGCCCTTGTTTCCCTTTTTTTTGGTTCTCGGGACTGAAGAAAAAGTTCGTTGCCTCGTGGGTCTAAGATCCACTGCCCGTGCCCAGCGTCGGTGATTCTTTCCTCTCTCGTGTGTGTAGATGAATGAAAGTGGAAAAAGGAAAAATGCAGATCCATGACGCCAATTCGAATTATTGTGTCCAAAGAAAACCTTTGAGACCCCCAACCGCCTTGTAAATGGTCATTGCTATGCGTATACGTGCAGCCATTCATAACCCAGCCTATCCGATAACTTGCACCGTTCATGATATTAAAGGGGAAAAAAAAAGGAAAGCCGCATGAAGGGTATATGTCGTGGCCCGAGACCCAACCGTCCGAATTGTGGAGAAGAGGTACCCAAAGTGAAAAGGAGAATGTTAAATTGTCATTGGACTGCAACGAGATTGTCGTAGTACGTGTGTGTTTGCGTGAACAAGCGCTCTAGGAATTTTTTCTTTTCCTTTTGCACGCCAACAAGATCCCGAGGGGGTTGAATCTAATACTGAGAGGATCGCCAGTAGTGTTGGTGCTCTGCTTGGCGCTGTGCCGCTTCCTCGGTAGCCGACTCGGTCGCGGCGACCATGGCCAGGGCGTCAAGGCCGCTGGGAGTCCTTGAGGCGATCGAAGGTCGATGTAATGCCTCCTGCAGACCAGAAGGCAGCAGAGAAGCGGACTGGATGGCGGGCGACAATAGGGGAGAGGTGTCCCTGGGCGAGGAAAACCTGCTGATGCTGCCTCTGCTCGATGCCGACTGTCGGCGGGAAGCTAGAGAGGGCCGGCCGGCTCCTCTGACCGACGCGCGCGACTTCTCCCTGCGATGGGTCTCGAGGTGCTGCTTCATGTTGTCCTGGCGGGTAAAGCGCTTGGGGCATCCAGCGAAAGTGCATGAGATTGGCTTGAGCCCTTCGTGGATCTTGGCGTGGCGCGAGGCATGACCAGAGGTTGTGAATGACTTGTCGCAGTTCGGGTCCTTGCATGGGTAGCGCTTCTGGGAGCCGACGACCTTGATCTTGACGGGCTTCTTGATGCTGGCATCGGGCTTCTGGAGTGCTGACTCAGGGGTCGCCTTCAGGAGCGGATCTAACAGGGGAAGCTCCGAGTAAGGAGAGTCATCAGGGCTCTCGACACTGTGGTGGACGGCAGGTTCTGACAGAGCGGGCACTTGTCTGTGGGGGGTGTCGAGGCCATGGCGGTAGTGGAAATCGTCGAGGCTCGTTGACGAGGACGAAGCAGCTCCGAACATGGCGCTGTAAGGGTTGGAACTCCTCCTCCGGCTCAGCTCAGGAGTAGTGGGAGTCCTGACCTCCATAGTACCTGCGACCTTGTGGAAGGACGAGATGGGCGGGAGGACGGTGTGAATCTCGATGCCATAAGGCTGCTGCTGCTGCTGCGAAGTGTCCTTGACATTTGGGAAGAGTGGTTCGTGATAGGCGCTATTTGGGGTCAGGGGGCTGTCGTGACCGCTGGCCTGAGAATCGTACGAGTGCGATCGTGAGAGATCAGGTGTGTTTGGGAATGAGACATCTGGCTTCTGGTCGCCCTGGGCGTAATTACTGTAAGATGGGTAGGCAGCACTGTAAGATGAGCGCATCTCATAACGGTGTGGTTCGTTGGTTTCGTGCAGTAGCGAGATCAGCCGCCCTGAGGCATCTCTTTGAGTGTGATGAGACATGTTTGCTGGAGGGGTAGTATGACTGTCGGGCGGGGAAGAGGTAAGCTTTTGTAACTCAAAAATATGGCCCCGAAAAATTCAAATGCCATGAGCGCAGCTCGGTACGTATGGCAATCGCCTTCGAAAGTCTGACATCGTAAAAGATGTCGACATGTGGAAAGAAATACAGGGCATTCCAAGAGACGTAAAAGTCCTGACCCTAGAGTCGCTATACATACATGAGAGTTGCCTGAGACAAGGCGAGGAAGGAATGCAGATGGAATCGAGTCCTCGATTGAGGTCCAAGTCCAAGTAATAATCTTCTAGAGGCCGCACACCACACAATTCCTTTTCTTTTAAAAGCGTGTTGCAGGTCCACCTAGATCCGTGGGTTCCGTGAAGAAAGTATAAGATGTGATCTGAGAACTTGTGTTGATGAGACGCCCCGTGTGTACTGCAACGGCGAGGTTGGTCGAGGGAGCGATTGACCTCGTAGATTTAAGATGTTATCTTCGAGGATCAAGTGTAAGACTGATTGACGGAAGAGAACTAGAAATTTTTCTTTCGAGTTCGTGTGAGGCGGAAAAAAGGTCTTGACGAAAGGGCGGTAGGTGTAGGTAGAATGTGAGAGCAAGAGTGACTACCAAGATGGTACGAGCGTAGGGCAGCCTTCTGATTTAAAGCGTTGGACGAGGTCCGAGACCCACAACACAATGAAAAAGGAACACAGCGGGCACATGGGTTCTGTAGCGCATCGACCCCTGCGTGCTGTTGCAGCCAGCCAGCCTGGCCCTGGAAGGGGACGGGGATAGGGGTCTGAGACGATCACTCCCTGTGGTGTTCAGGGTCTACTATGTGAGTGCCGCGCGAGTGGCAGTCTCGCGCCGAGCATGGGAAAGTTGGGAAATCCTCCCCGCCCCGCGACCCCAATTGTCGATTCCGCCTTCTACTATGGGTACTTCACGACGTCCCCCCCCCTCCCCTGTAGCCATCATTGCCCCACTCTAGAACAGCTATGGGCCCGGTCCCTGTAAGAATTGCCCCAGCTCGGCTGTCCGTACCTAAGTACAGTACATTGGTACGACCCCTCCCCAAGGTACCTTCCCTCTCCCAGGTGCCCAAGGGACCACACATCAGGTGTACCCCTCTTCCCCCCTCAGGGTATGGTCCGTAAATTGCGGTGTCTACTCGATTCCCTTTTTCTCTCTTGCGGGCCAATGTAGATTCTATCCTTGGACTTGATTTTCCGGGAAACTGGGACTGGAAGAGATCGAACACAGATCCTCCGACGATTGCTTCCTAATCTCTGATCGACACGACAATTCAAAAAAAAAAAAAAAACTTGTTATTCAAAAGTACAGCACGGAGGTTTTCGTCCGCAGAGCGTCTCAATTGTGCTATACACACGCCGCGCATCCAGAGAGCTCGTGCCCGAGGTAGGTCATCTCTCGCCCTCGTCGTCCACAGAACTGGTGTATCGCGTGTGGGGCTGAAAGGGCACGAGTTCCCTCTTGTGTCAGTCTCTTCATGTGCTTATCTCCCACGGCCTGAGGGCCCGATCTGACGATCTCACGATAATTGAGACCGAGTACGAACCATCCCTTCACACGTTTGAATGTCCACAAAACCAACGGCTATACCTTGCGATTAGTCTTCAATGAAAGCTGGGCGATCTTGGCGCTTCGACAACTAGATACAAAAATTCTATGAGTGTAATGAAGTATATTTTCTTGATCTGCCGGGCTGCCGGGCTGGTGCGAAGGGCTGCCTTTTGGTGGTAACAGGCCCGTTATAGCTAGACTGCGTGCGACCCCCCCCCCCATCTCCTCCCGCCGTACAAGCAGGGGCGTACAGAGAGCAGGAAAAGGGGAAGGGGAAAAAGAACAAAAAAGAATAAAATCATTCCACCGAGGCGCTTAGATCATCTAGTGGATCCAGGGACTGCCGCACCCTGCATTTGCCCATGTGCCTGAATCCGGGGGCTCACTTGCTGCCTTCGAAGTAAGGAAGATGACGTAGAGGGCGTCTGGGATCCTAGTGAGCCGCGTCGCCGGGCGGAATAGCCGGTATGCTGCGGGGATCTGAAAATTCACCTGGAATTCTTTCAAAGCGGGTTGATTTAAGCTTTTGGCGAGTCTGCAAAAAAGCTGCCGACACTTTTCGGGTTCGTACCATAGCTATCTGTGCTGAGAGGGGGGCCAAGAAAGGTAGGCTACCCCTTCCGGCTTTTCTCATCGTATCGCCGGGACAGAGCGTATCCCCATTACAGCTTTTGTTCTTCTACTTACTAGACCTATAGTAGTACAAGTTAACGGTTGAGAAACCGTCAGAGGTTCCTGGAGCTTACAGCTCTAGCTTGCCTGTCGAGAGTAACTCGTGCGCCCGATATCTTCTGAAGGGTGTATCTCAGTACCCCAGTGAGCGTGGCTTTCGGTTGGTTGACACGTCAAGATTAGCTCTCTGATGGTGCAGCACAATCTCTGAAACACAACACGGCTCCTGAGAGGAAAATGGAAAAGCTTGAAAGCCTCGTTGTTCGCCTTGCTGGGCCGGCTGTCGCGGTCTGAAGGGGGCACATTCAGAAGTCGCGAGAAGTGGGAAAAAGCTGTAAGCCAATAATCGGCGTTTGCTAAGGGGATCACCGATCCCGTCGACGTGGTGGAGCTCAGGGCCAGCTGTGCGGGTCCCGCGACACAGCGGGCGGGTACTTGGGCGCAAGTACAGTACATCGTACCCCTTGTGGTTGTGGGGGGGGGGGTGCCTCTTTGCAAATCCAAATTGGGGAACGCAAGCTTCTTTCATTCAATGCCTTCTCCCACTGACACGTACGTACCACCTCCTCCCCCATCCCGTTGAAGTTTTTAAGGATTTTGAAATGAACACGCAGGCGTACGCATAAGACGCGAGCCCCGTCTGAGATAGACAACTTCCGCCAGTGGCGGTATCTTGCTGAGTTCGGTGAGAGGTGACGGCATGACAATTGTCTTTTCAAGAGAGATGGAGACTACACTTTGGAGGGGGCCTTTGCCTTGTCCTGACTTTGCCACGCTTGCGTCCGCCCCCTCCCTGACTCCCGCTTTTGAACATGGGCATTCGGCAACAATCCCATGATGGAATTGGGGGCATTATCGCCCAACCGGAGAATCGATGCCAGATCGGATCAGGGCCGAAAATGCAATAGATCAGCAGGAGCAGCACCTGCAACTAGGAACAGGGCCACACAACTACTCTTATGGCAGTGCGCTGTCCTTGGTGCGGGCGGCGCGGTGAACATCCCAAGGGCGCAGAATATGTGTGCGGTTGGACTGCACAGCACACTGCAAGAGATCGTGATCAGGCTGATGATCATAGGGCCCATCATCATTAGGCCCACCCGCTGCCAGAAACCGACCCGGAAATATCAGATCATATCCGTGGACACAGCCAGGTGCATGATTCTCCTTGGCAGTCGCCAAGTTATGATATAAGGGTACTGACTTTGTTAGTTTCCCATGCAATCTTGATCCGAAAGCAAAGGACATTGGCATGGGGGAGAGAGACAGCGATGAGTCCTGTGGCGGTATGCGGAACCATCACACAATATGGCCAAGGCTGAGAAGCTGGATTTGGGGGTTCCACAGGCCCAAGAATGTCCCAAAGATCCCATTCTTCCAGAAAGATACAGACCCTGGCACGCTGGGGTACATCTCAAGGTCAAGCCACGGCGATCAGGCCACGCCGCCATGCCTTGAAATTCTGTCCACGCCAGGTTGATTACCTTGTTACTTTGGCTGGTCCATCCCGCTGAGGAAATCCCTAGGATCTCTTTTCAGCACCCAGGTCTTACCCACACCGGGAAAACAAGGGGGGGGGTCTGTATGAGGGATTTCTGCTCTTGTCTCGCTCGGTGGTCGCACGAACAATTCGAGGGGAGGAAACTTCATCAAACAAGCCCGGAAGCAGACCCCGTCCTAAGCGTTGCTTGACAGATCGAGAATTAAGCTGTTGATCGGGCCAGTCCAGCGGAAGCGCTAGAGAAGACCCCACTGTACAGCAGGCGTCAGGGTCCCGTCTGGGGTCCTGCCGGGGTGCCCTGCCAGGATCAGTCGCTGGGTGTACCTTTCCTGAACACCCCGACGACCTGCAACCGTCAGACCCATCTCTCAGGGACAGAACACGAGCAGTGAAGACCATATGGTTTTGTTAGGTTTTTTATTTTTATTTTTATTTTTATTTTTATTTTTAATAGTTTCCTCGATGCGTCGGGGTTGCTCTATGACCACAAAGAGAGAAGCAAGCGTGCGCGCGCGCGCGTGTGGCGGACTCGAACAACTCGTATCACAACGGTTACTAACAATTGATTCGCCAATGTTGTGTCAACGTTCGAGGTCCCCTGCCCAAATGGCATGTAGCACTCATGTGTATTGAGAAATCCTGATGGGGAAGTGAACACACACATTACCTTGAAATTTTAAAAGGTCTTCGAGGGTCTAGACTCCCAACTGTGGTGTCTAACTACGTCATGATGCTGGGATGAGAAGACGGGTCCTCGAGGAGAGGGGGGTGTTAAGGAAGAATAAAATTCAGCAATAGCAAGGGACAAAAAAAAAGGGGACCTCGAGAAAAGAGGCTGCAGCTGTGGATCAAGCAGGAGCTGTCAAGGGGGAGGCCATAGACCATAGCCCCACAGAATGCTACAGACCCTTGCACCTCAGTATCAGAGCCCACCAAGCCCCCGCCTTCCCACGCATAAGCAGTACAGTACCGGTGAGTACCTACTGTGCCATGGCACTATGCAATGCTACAAGACGTCACATCACCTGCAGCCCACAGGCCGAGGTGGAGGGGACCCCAAGGGTCCTTCCTCATTCGGATTCCAGGTGTGGCTTTCTGGTGGCGCCCTCCTCACCACACAGACACAGTGCCTGGAGCCCAGAGAGGACCTCACACGGCGCTGAGAAGGGAGGGAAAAGGGGCGTCTCGCGCCGTTGCAGTCCAAGAGGCTGGTACTATGATACTAGTAGTACACAAAGAATAAAAGAATAATGTGGGCACATAGCTGTGCAGGCAACGGCCATGCTCGATTCACTGTCATCGTTTCTTCTTTCTTTTCTTTCGGGGGGAGGTGGGGGGGTTCGACCCTGAATGTGTCGATTTGATCGCCATCAGCCTAACCAATCAATCTCTCTGCCACTCAGCACAGCCACATCCCAAACCCACTGACTGATTAGATCGCGATCGCGATCAGACCTGCGGAG